AATCCAGCAGAGCCCATTATAAGGCCAGAAGCAAACTGGGTTCCTGAATCAGACTGGTAGATGGGTTTTCTTTGGTCTAACAGTTCAAAAACAAATGGAATTAGTTGCCAACAAATGCACATTGAGAGTTTTCACATACAAACCCAAATTTCCAGCTTCTCTTGAAAATTAGGACCATCTGGTAACATTGGGATCAAATTCCTCGATGGCATCACCCATGGTAATGTGGTTTCCAGTTCACCTTGGTCCCTACTCCTTCCCTGTTGTATCGGGGCCCTGGGTCCCTCGCCACCTGTCAGTATGTCTGTGCTCATGGTCCCCTTTAGAGGAAAGTTAGCTGTAACTTCAGACATGTACAGCCTTGCCCCTCAGTGTAGAATCCTCAGACCAGCAGCATCGGTCCCCCCCTGGGGACTGGGTCAAAGTGCAGAATCTCAGGCACCACTGGGACTGGCCGTGTGGGAATCTTCATTTTGACAGCTCCCCAGGGGTGTGTGTACAATCCGGATGGAGAAGTGTGGCTTTAGGATCAAGCAGGGGGGAAAAGATCACGAAACCACCAGACGGTGAGGAGTCTGGGCTGTGTAGACGGATGTGGCTTTGGATAAGGGTTCCGTCGTAGATGAGCTGTGTGACTTTGGGCAAGGCGCTCTCGGAGTCTCGATCTCCTTCCTGCGGTCTGAGAAGCAGAATGGGGCCCTCTGTGCCGGAGGGTGACATGAGCTAAGGCAGCACTGGGCTTAGCAGGTGCCTGGCAGAAGGGAAAGCCCTGGACTTGTCAGCAGCTCTTATTCATGTCTGGGAGGGAGGAAAGGGCTCCCTCTAAAGCCGAATGGAGAATCGTTAAGTTCTCAAAACCAAATCAGGTTTCCTCCAATCGAGGAGGAACTAACAGCCATGCTGGTAATAAACAAAACCGCAGCTTCCCACTAGCTGTTCGGGAGACCCTGGAAATCCCTCCTTGGGCATCAGCTTTCTCTGGAGGTGTGTGTGTGTGTGTGTGTGCGCGCGCGTGTGTGTGCGTGTGTGTGTGTGTGTGTGTGTGTCTTTGTTGCCTGTGTTTTCCATTGGGAGCGGTGGCTACTGCCACGTGTATTTAAGACTGATAAAAAACTGTTTAGTATCTTACTCCTCTGTTTAAAAAATTGTGCAGAGCAAGTCCCAGCATGAGCGAGCATGAGTTTATCTCCAGTGCGATGAGGGATTTGCACGGAAAGCAACGCTGAATTATAGGTGTGCTAAGATCATTTCCTCTCTAGGGTGGGTCTCTTTGCACACAAGGATTTTAAAGCCTGTGCGTGAGAAGGCTCTCGGCCCTACTGGGGTCCGAGGCCGAGGTCGTCAGGCCTTGGCCAGGTGGGTGGACAGAGGGAGCAGCCCTCAGGCTCCCTTGGCTGTGTAGGGCGCCCCCAGGGAGCCCTCAGGCCTGCTGCGCTTCCTCCAGGGCAGATGGTATAAGAGTTCTGCCCATGAAGATGAGGTCCCTATCTCCCGCTGAATGTGCGTGTCAGCAGAATTCTTTTCTTCTTTTTATTGCTTTGGAGACATATGCTGACTTGGTCAAAATCGCTTCAGCAAGATGTGACTGATGATGTATGAAATGAAAACTGCTTACCCAGTGCTGGGAGGCCGGCGAGTGAGGGCTGTGGACACTCGGCCGGGGCTGGCCAGACACAATAACACCCCTCACGTTTCCAGGCCATCTTTCATCTGGGAGAAGCTGGCCCTGGGGTGGAGCAGATTGGGGAGATCGGGTTACCGCCCAGGAGTCCAGTGCTGGGTGCCCCGGCTTGGGGAACCACAGCTGGGGTCGGGTGGCTGGGGGCTGTCTGCTGGGGAAATGAGATAGGCCCCAGGGAAGTTCCTGGGCCCCGGATGGCATGGGGCAGGAGGAGGGGGGAGCTGGGGGACAATGAGACGGATCAGAATGCGGGGATCCCCCTTTCATCTCTGATCCCTTCTCCCTCTCTGCCCTGCTCTCTCCTGCTCTCACACTCTTGCCCCTGCCCTGGATCTCTCCTAGTCAGGATACATTTGCTTTCTTCTGTTTGGCCAAAAAACAGACCATCATGAAAAGTTGCGTTGTTATTTTTAAGCTTAGGAGGCTTTCCTGTTAACATATTTTCCTTTTCATCCAGATGGTAACTAACATCTATCAAATGCTTTCTCTGTGCCCCAGGCACCTTGCGAAGTCCTTTACATGAGTTGAATTAACTTCTGAATCCTCCCAGCAACCCTAGGAAACAGGTGCTATTTGTCCCCCCATTATACAGATGGGGGAACTGAGGCACAGAGAGGTTAAACCCCTGGTACATGCCTGCAAGTGGCAGGGCTGACGTGTGAACCCAGGCTGCCAGCTCCCACCCAAGACTTTCTCTAAACAATCCCGAAGCCTTTGCTGGTGGCCTCCGCTCTCAAACCAGCATCTGATGTGCTTCCAGGCAGATATTCTTGTTTGCATGAGTGCATTCATTCATTCAGCGATCAAGCAAGCATTCAGTGGGGGCCTGGTGCAGTCTGGGGGACTCCTTTAAGGGAGGAAGCAGGGAAAATAAAGAGCCCCCCAACCCCCGGCATGAATCACAGGAAAAATCAGGTTAAATAGGGGGTGGTGGGAGTTCAGAGGGAACCTGGTGTCTTCCGGGTCTCAGATATGGAAAGCGTATCGTCTCCGTCTCGCAGGGGAAAAGATGGCAGAGCAGAGCAAGGGGGGCGGGGTGAGGGCTCACAAGATGCCTTAGCCTGGTGCCTGCGCAGTCAGCCCTCAGTCCACTGTGCTCTTCAGGTATTGGCTGTGCTTCCTGTTCTTCACTCAACAGGTACTTCCTGAGTGCCTGCTGTGTGCCAGGCTCGGGTGAGAGGCACAGATCTTGCTTCGGGGCCTTCCCCTGACCGAGGGGGAGCAGCGCAGACGCCAGCCAATCAGTTGTTTTCGTTGTAGACTGGTAGCACCAATACCTGCGGCCTCCACCCCCAGCCTCACTTGCTTGTTAAAATCCCCCCCAAGAGATTTGACAGTGGATTAAAAAGCAGAGAAGGCTGCTGCAGAGGAGTAGTATTTCAGACTGGACGAAAGTAACCTACTTCATCCAAGCTGGCATTGGAGGTGGCATAGCAGTTGCAGTGGCTTTGCCCCTGGAAGGCCAACCCCGGGGGCACAGGGAGCTCTGGGGAGACAGAGCCTGGTGGCCGTTCCTCGCTCTGCAGGGCCTGTGTTGCACTTGCTGCTCTCCCTGCCTGGGATGCCTCTCCCTGGCAAAGCCGTGTCTTTCTCATCCTTCCAGGACTCAGGTCAATGGCATCTCCTCCAGGAGATCCCCTTCCCACCTCCCTCCACCTCTCCCTGTTTATTCACTCCTTCACCCTATCACAGGCTGACATGATCTGGGTTGCATATGCTCTGGTGGACACTGGACTAGCCAGTGCCCCTCTGACTGCCTCAGCAGGTCCCTGTGTTGGTTCTCACTCTCCACAGTGCCCACCCGGGGCTCTCCCCCTCGACCCTCCTGTGTGCCCCGCTTGGCCTGGCTCCAGCAGGTGAGCGCACTGCATCCTGCCTGAGAGAACCAATGGCCGAGCATAGCCTCCCCTCCCACCCCTAAACCATGTATCAGCTTCCCGCTTTGTCTCCCCTGGCCTGAAAGCCAGCTTCGTGGTGGAGGCCACTGGGTGAGCTCACTCTCTCCTGTCCCCTCCAGCCCAGCACTGTGCTGGCATTGGGATGGGCCACATAATTTGCAGGGCCCAGTGCAAAATGAAAGCGGGGACCCTTTATTCGTAGATCACGAAGAGCTGCAATGTGGCCATAGCAGAGCATTAAGCCAGGTGTGAGCGTGGGGGCCCGTGGAGCCCACCCTGCGTGACGCCCAGGAAGTGCTCAACAAACCTTTGTTGAAGGAAGGCGGCAGTGGAAGAAGGCAGGTGGAGGGGGCTTTCACAGTGCCTTGATTGACAGGTGGGCAGAGGCCCAGCCCTGGGCCGGGGGCCCAGGACCCGCTCCACCTCACAACCTGGAGCCTGTGTAACAGGGCCGGGATGTGATTGAAATGGCTAGGACCCACAGCCTTGCATCTCTCTTCTCCTCACCTGGCCTCTGGCCTCTCCTGTCTCCACCCATGTGGACCCTCAGGCTGCCATCTTGTCCAGAAGCCCCCAAAAGGCTGCATGGCAGAACCACCTATGCTGCAGAAAACTCCAGAAGATCAGGTTCCTCTTTACCAGCCCTGGAGCTTCTGCCTCCCCCAAGTGAGGCTTAGCCAGATCCCTCCCCCTAAAGGACACCCCTGTCCCCAAACTCAGCCCTTTACCTTTCATCCCAGAGTCCCTCTGGTCACCCTTCATCTAGCCCATCATCGGGCAACCACTGGTTTGTGGGTTTGCCTCCTTGGGGCGGGAAAGGGCGGAGGCAAGATTGAACTTGATCACGGTACTCACTGCCACTCTGAGTCAAGTGTTATTTTGCTCCCAGTTTTACAATGAAACTGAGGCTCTGAAGAGCAGTAGTTTACTCAAAGTCCCACAGCGGGTTCTGGGTTGTCTGGGGCGCCTGTGTGCCATGCCCAGTGTGAGCTGGGCCCCAAGTGGGCAGCTCAGTGTCATTCGTGGGATGAATGAATGAGGGGACGGAAGAAAGGAGGCCAGGAGCATCTGGTGAGGTCTCAGGCACAGACACTCAGAGGTGAACTGGATGCAAGGCCAGCTGTGCGCTTCTCAGGTGTGGCCAGGCAGGGGCTGGTGGACAAGGTCAGACAGTGACCGAGGGAGTTCCGTGGTGGTCCAGTGGGTAAGACTCCACGCTCCCAATGCAGGGGGCCCGGGTTTGATCCCTGATCGGAGAACTAGATTCCACATCCGCGTGCATACCGCAACTGAGAGTCCACATGCTGCAACTAAGAGTTCGCATGCCGCAACTAAGAAGTCCGCACGCCACAGCTAAAGATCCTGCATGCTGCAACTAAGACCCGGCGCAACCAAAATAAATAGATAAATTAATAAATAAATAAGTATTTTTTAAAAAAAGAGGCAGTGCCGGGCCGGGATATCTGGTCTCAGGCTGAGGAGTGGTTGGGCCCCCAAGGAGGGAGGTGGGGAGGAATTCTCCAGCTCACACAATTTCAGTCATCCAACAAATAACGACTGTGCAGCCACAGTGGCTACCAGGCCCTGGGCTCCAGGACATCTGAGAGAGTCCCACCTCGGCCCCCAGGGAGCTCTGTTTCTAGTGGGAAGGCAAGACAATAAAGAAGGTACGAATAACTCAGTAATGCCAGACGGTGGGAGGAGGAGTTAAGGAAAATAGAACAGGTGTGCGCGGGGGTGACGAGGGGAAGGGACCTTATCTCCGACGGTCTGGGAGGAAGTGGCACCTGAGTGGCACCTGGAGGTGGAGGCTTGGCCAGATGGCAGGGGTGGGGAGGGAGACTGGGAGGGGAGAGAGTTCCAGGCAGAAGGGCTGGCAAGTGCAAGAACAAGCTGGCAACAAGTTCGGGGAGGGATCCGCGTGTCTGGAGTAAGGCGGGGAAGGGGGGGCAAAAGGCGAGAGGGGCTCGGGTGCCACCTCCGCCAGGAAGCCTTCTCGTATCGCCGCGCTTCCTCCACGCTCCCCCAGCTTGCTCTACCGCAGCGCAAATCCCATGGGTGCCGCTCAGGCCTCCTTCCCTGTCCGGACTACGAGTGCGGAGAAAGCAGGGCCGGCTCGGATTCCTCTCTCCGCATCCCCGCGGCGCCCGGCCCGGCGCTGGGCACCCTGTGGGCACTGGGTAAATATTTGCAGAGCGCACTAGAAGGAATGAATGAACCCATTGGGCGCCGCTGGGGGGAGGGCGGGGCCGAGGGCAGGTGGGAGGCCGCCGACGCGGGAGGGGCCCTCGGAAGCCCGTCCTCCTCCTCCCCCTCCCCCTCCCAGGCCCCAGCGCGCACCACTCTGGGGCTCCCGAGGCGGCCTCTCGTGCGATCAAGGGCGCGCAGGGCTGGGAGAGCGACCTGGGGCCCCTTTTCTGGGCGCCGGAGTTCGGAAGAGGGTGGGTCCCCGCCGCCCAAGAGCAAGAGCGCGAGAAGAGCCGGAGGAAGGAGCGCCCGCTCGCCCGCCGCCTCGCTGCCACCCCGGCGCTCGCTCTCCCGGCTCCTAGGTTTGCTGGCTGCTCCTCCCACCCGCGCCCGCCTCTTTGCTCGCGCTCTCGCTCGCTCAAGCCGGTTTCCGAGCCCCACGGTGCGCCCGGGCGAGTGCGGGGCGAGGGGCCCCGGGGCCAGCGCCGAGCCGGGGGCGGGGGTCCGGGCAGAGCGCAGCCGGCCGGGGAGGGGCCATGTCCGGCGCGGGCGCAGAGGGGCCCGTCTACAGCAAGTGACCGAGCGGCGTGGACGGCCGCCTGCCCCGCTCCGTCACCTGGGGCGGCTCGGGCCCCGGTGCCGGGTGCCCGGAGCCCGGGTCGCGCGTAGAGCCGGCGCGATGCACGTGCGCTCGCTGCGCGTCGCGGCGCCCCACAGCTTCGTGGCGCTCTGGGCGCCCCTGTTCCTACTGCGCTCCGCCCTGGCCGACTTCAGCCTGGACAACGAGGTGCACTCAAGCTTCATCCACCGGCGCCTCCGCAGCCAGGAGCGGCGGGAGATGCAGCGCGAGATCCTCTCCATCTTGGGCTTGCCCCATCGCCCGCGTCCCCACCTCCAGGGCAAGCACAACTCGGCGCCCATGTTCATGCTGGACCTGTACAATGCCATGGCGGTGGAGGAGGGCGGCGGGCCCGACGGCCAGGGCTTCTCCTACCCCTACAAGGCCGTCTTCAGTACCCAAGGCCCCCCTCTGGCCAGCCTGCAAGACAGCCACTTTCTCACCGACGCCGACATGGTCATGAGCTTCGTCAACCTCGGTGAGTGAAGGCGGGAGGGAGGGGTGCGCGTCTCGGCCAGGAGTCGCTTTGGGACAGGGAGGGCGCCGCGTCTTGCATCCAGCCCGCCCATCTTTCCACTCCCGGTAGTTTTCAAAACGGCAGTGCCTGGCCGAGGGTCTCCCACCCCCCTGCCTTAGTGGACCCCAAGCTGCGCGCGCCCCAGGTAGGGCGAGCCGGGCTCATCTGGCCTGTGGGAGTGCGGGGGAAGTAAGGACCGGTCTGAAGCCTGCTCTGGGTTTAGTCGGCGACTGCACCTCTGGGGCGGGAGGCGCCGGGCGGGCCGCGGCTCAGTTCAAAGCGCGGGGCTCGGTCATGTGAGCTGTGCCTGTACGGCTGGGCCCGCGCTACCTGGATTTAAAGGGCCCTGCTCCGCGAAGCTGACTTCCCGCCCTTTCTGAGCCCCTCTCTGCCCTGCCTGGCCCTGGCATCGCGGGCGTTGCGCTCCCTTCCCCGCCCTGGCAAGCCCTACCTGTCCCCTCGCGGTGCGCCCGCCGTAGCGTGCTGCGCGCCCCGAGCGCCTCGGGGCCCCTTTCCTGACCGCTGGGCGCCCCTCTCGCGCTCAGCTCTCCTGGCTGGAGCTGGGGGAAAAAACGTTGCCATTGCGACCTTTCTATTTTAAATATTTAATGATAGGTCCCGGACTGGCAGAATCCATTTTCAGCGTTTATCACGTGTGGCGCGCAAACCACGGCTTCTGGCTATTGGGTGGCGAGGGATCTCCCAGCAGACGCCGCCGGGGGAGGCTAGGGGACCCGGCTTCCGACTGGAGCCGCGACGGCCCCAGGGATCGGAGGCTGGCGCTGCGGCGGGGGTGGTGCCCTCGCTCCATCTGTGCACATTCACCAGACTTGCTCAGACTAACCCCCGACTGCGCGCTATAGAGCTCATGATCAAATATTTGGTTTCTGAGACAACACGCCCCGATAGCGCTGTTTCCCGAGCCGCTTTCATTCTACAAGTGTCACTTGTTGCGAAAATGCGAACGAAGTCAAGACAGCAAACTCACGCCCACCGGCGCTGTGTCAACCGGGAAATAATGATCCTGAAGCCCCCCGCGGGGCACCTGGGGCGTGGATGGAGGGCGCCGGGAAGCGCGGATCAACCTTAATGCTTCCCGCGCCAGATAAGGTCCCTGGAGTTCCCGGGACGCCATTGTCTGTCCTTAATAATAGCCCAAAATCAAATAGTGAAACGAGTTTCAGCGAGCAAGGGGTGGGAGGTTTAGATGCCAAAATGACTTCAAGAAAGTTTAAATTATACTAGGCAGCCTGTTAGAATGAGACAGCTCCATATGTCCTGATTTCGAACAATCTCCAAGATGTATGGGGTGGAAAAAAGCGAGGTGCAGATCAGAGGTTACATACGTGCTTGTCTATCATGCTTTCCCACTGGAGGAAGACGCCATGGATTGGAAATAGATTTTATGGGGGCAGGGCAGAACTGGGGCTGGGGCCTTAGGGATTTGGGAGCTGGGGCCTGATTTTTCATTGTCTGCAGTTTTGTGTATGATTTTTTTTTCCATGTGTATTTGTGACCTATACTAGAAGCTAAAGAAAAATCCCAAATACGTACATATAAATAAATTAATTAAAGCAGAGCTGTGTCTCCATCCTGAAGCCAGGGGTTAACCAGGCCCTTTCTCTGGCTGGGGATTTATGGTATCTTCTGTTCTGTCGGATACCTGTGACTCCCAGTGAATGCCAGCAGGTCCCAGTGGCGGCCTTCAGAGCCTGGCTGAGGTCATTAAAAAGGTATTTGTAAGCCCTGGCTTCTGTGGAGGGCTCTGCAAACGCAGTGCAGAAAGCACCCCGCTGCTTATGGACCAACCTCGTGGCCAGACGCGGGCTCCTCCCATGCCCGAAAAGGACCAGGTTGCCAACTGGGCACCTCTGGGAAACTTGGGGCAGGGCTGTTTGCTGCCCCTTGGTAGGGGGGAGCAAGCTGGGACTTGTTTGGGAAGACCACAGCTGGGTGGTTTTCCTCCTCTGGCTGTACACACACCTTTCAACCCGTTAGTCCCATTTCTTTCATCTTGAAAAGACAAAGACCAGCTTGTCTGAGCCTCTTAATCAGTCAGGCTGGCTTTGGGCTTTGTGGGACAGTCCTGACTTTCTCAGGTCTTGCTTTCTGGAGCATCACTCCAAATTAGATGGCAGAGTGGCTTTTAACAGAGAGCACTGACCTTGTTTGCTTTCTTTCTCAGTCCCTAAAACTTTCTCGGTAATTAGTTGGGTGAAGACCTGGACCGCAGTTGGGCAAGACTCTTCCTGTAGATGTTTCTAAGGTTGCCCTTTAATTTCTGCTCGGCAGCAGCATGGGAATAAACCGCCTGTCCCTTCCATTTTGTGGGGTTCTGGGATTTTGCCGCAGGAGGGGCTGGGGGGTAGCAGTGGGGTTGGAGGGGGCGTGTGGGAGACCTGCTTGGAAGCTGAGAAAAAGCATACGATTTTTCCTTGGATTGCAGATCATACTGACCTGTAACATACAAAGTTTTCTAAAAATGCGTTTAGTCTCACACTTTTACTAAGAGTGAGAAAAACGTCGTTTGTTCATATGCAGCTATTACTTGTTACCTTGCAGGGGACCTGGGGGAGACCTTGAAGGGAGACTGACTTTCTCCACCACCCTCTCCTCCCCTCAAAGCCCCCTCCTCCTTCCACCACCCCCTCCTCCCTCATTGCATACCGCTGCTGTCCTGCAGTGCTCTGGGGGACTTCGGCCTGAAGTCTGAAGGCTTTTGCAGAGCTGGTGCGTTTATTCTTCCGTCTGCAGCCAAACTGGTTTTTGTTCCTCTAAGTCGTTCTCCTCAGAATTCAAGCTTTTTGCCAGGCTGAGTGGGATCTAAACTAGAGAGGAAACTAGAGGAGAATTTATGACAAAACCAGGTGCTGAGCATGAGGACCTCAGACCGCACCTTGTGACAAAGACCAGCCTGTACAATAAAGCCCCTGTAATGCTAGCTGAGCTGCCGGAGGGAGACTTACATCTTCCCAGGCTGGGCCTCTTAAGTTCAATGGCGAGATTTGTAAACTGGTTTGGATTAACAAGCCCCCAACTCCTCTGTGCAGACTTAAGTTTGGAATTCAAAACAGGCTACCCTCTCTTAAACTGTCCCCAGGCAATGTGAGTTCTGCAGACTGAATCCCGAAGATAGTTGCCCTCCCCCCGCTTCTTTCTTTGGAGAAGTCCAGCAGCTCCTTTTGGTATCTTCTAAAGAAGCCCCTGGCACTGGGGGTGTGCGATCCACATTTATCTCTGGTCCAGGTTCTGAAGGAACCAAATTTGTTTAATCTTTGAAGCTAAATTGAAAAGAGGGGAAGTTAGAAACCTATCCTTATTGGGCTCAGTGTCTAAAAGTGGCTTTTGTTAATGTAGTCGAGGAGTGGGGAGAAGGCCGTTCAGTTTTACTTTTATTTTATACCATCTGGCGATCCTTTTTGTTGACAAGTGTTTGGCATTAAGATCTCTCCTTTTGCCCCTTCAGAACAGGCCCTACCACTGTAGAGTATTAGAAAAAGATTCTGTTACAGTTTAAAAATTTCCTTCAGGGAGTGCTTGCCGAGGGAGCACAGGCTGCAGGCGCTCGCAGCTGTAACCTGGCTTGTGTTAAAATTTGGAAGGGGCTGCCCCACATTCCAGCACTGGAGTGCCGGCCCTCACTGGTGAGCAGCCAGAGGTTAATATAGATGTCACACAGCCTTCCCTCCTTCTTTCTTTCTTTCTCTCTTTCTGCAGTGTCTTCGCTATAGGAGTGCACCAACAGCTGTGTTTTTAGTAACCCTTTCAACATCACTTCTTTTAAACCTCATTTTCCTGCTTATATAAATCAAAGATCTTCTCCCCTCTCCCCCCAAGGATATATGTGACCCAGGTTTGAACTTTGGGGGGGTCTTTGTATTTCCCTTCTGGAATCAGAGCAGGTTAAGGCCGAAGCCTGGATGCCAGCTCGCGTGGCCAACAGTTTTGGTGTTTATTCCAGAGTTGTCACTTGGTTGTGGGGCGGCCCTTGGAGGGGTAAGGGAGGAGGCCTAGGGAAGCGAAGGGGGGGCTTCTCTGAACGCACAGAGAGAGGAAACAGCTTCTGAGATGCAGCTCCTGCGAGCCTCGGGTCGGGGCCTTCCGTAGCGTCGTAGCCTGTCAAGCCTCTGCCGGGATAAACACAGCTGGCCCGCGAACCCTTGACCAGCAGCGTGCCTGCGATGTGAGCGAATATCACGTGTCCACTGAGCTCGGAGAGGATGATGACTTCATTCCAGGGAGAGCCTCATCTAAGTTGATTGATCACCCCTATCGCTTTAATATCTTTTTTTTCCCCTATTGGGTAAGGTCATATTTGGCCCATTGCAAGAATCAGAGTGTCCTAACACTCCCCCAGTCTCCACCCTTCCCCAGCCTGCCCATCCATTTCACCAGCTGACTATTTTGAATGGAGAGCCCTTTGCACCAAGTGGCTGGCCACGTTCATTCTTTGGCGATCACTCTTCAGACCTAGCTGGGGGCTGTCGGCACGGCTGCTTTTTGGCCGGCCTCTGCTTTAATGCACTCTGGCAGTGTCACCGGGCTTAGGGCACAGGCAGGGATGTGTGGGACCTGTCACGTTATTGTCAGAAGGAATGCACGGATTAGCCTGTAAAACGTGGCGGTGGGAGAGCGCTGCAGCTGTGTACACTTATTATAAAAGATTTAAGTCCCACTGGTAAAATCAGTACGTTGAATTGCATGACCCTCTGCTTTTAATTAGTTTAAGTCAAATGCGCCGGTGCCATTTTGCCCCCTCTCGCCTTCGTGGGGTGAGGAAATACCAATATTTACATAGAAACTCTTAATTTGTGGTAAAAATGATAACACGTTTAGCTTTGCACACCCAAAGTGCTCCAACTTGATGGATCCCGGATCAATGTGGAGTCGTGGGGTGATGTCACCTGGGCGAGGGGGCAGGGCGGCCACATCAGTGATGTTTGTCGCCTGGACCCAGGACC